TAATAAGAAAGAAAAATAAAAGAAAAGTGACTTACCCTGTCCTCCCATCGCAAAGTTTCCGGAAGGAAAAATGCTATCAGCACGAAGTGAATCGAGGTGAGAACGATTGCAAATACTGCAGGAGTAGTGTGAAATGCATCCTAAAAAGCAAGAATATCTTGAGGTTTAGTTACCCAAGTTTGGCATTCAGAGCCAAGCCAACTACGAGTCCAATATAGATTGACTGGTTTTAGTTTCCTTTTTTATCTTTTTGTTTCTACTTTTTGTTTTGATGCTTACGCCTTCCTTAACTACTGATGAGTTCCGGGGAAGGTCGTATTTCTGTCTTTTCCTGTTTAATGGAAAGAATAAAACGAAAATTGGATTGGAAAATAACAATATGTAGAGCTCATGAGAACTCATGGGAAAGTTCATACTTTCTGCACTCAATAAATTTCTGTAAAATTGCGAATATAATGGAAGTTACTAAAGCCCCACCTTTGGCGCAATCGTGGAAAAATAAGCTCCAAACATAGGTCCAATCAGAAATCCGACTGAATAGGAGATGCCGATGAGAGCCTATATACACTGAAAAATTCTACGAATCTATGATTTAAATGACTTATAATTACCAACCATTCCTTTGGCATTATCTTCAGGTTTATATACATCTGAAACAATAGCTGTGGCCACATTTATATTGGCTTTACTGAGTCCGCCAACAATTCTGCTAAGAACAAAGATGGTAAATGTCTCGGCGCGCAGCCAGATCTGGATAATTGGAGACATAGCAAAACTTTAGTGAATAATCGATAGCTATTCTTACCATGTAAGAGATCATAGTACCGATACCAGAAGCTAGCAGCATCGTTCTTCGACCATAGACGTCAGAAAGAGCCCCGAGAGTTGGTGATGCCAAAAATTGCAAAGCGCTAAATAGTGAGCCAAGCAGACCTGAAAAAACGACATCTTAAAAGCCTTATAAATCTCCAAAACTTATGCCTCACCTCCAAAAAATACATTATTATATCTCTCATTATGTGGAACTCCAAGCAAAGATTGAAATGACTTCAGGCCCGAGTTGAAGAGATCATACATAAAGTCCTAAAATGTTGCTTTAGACTTATAATGTACGAAAGGCCCAGTATCAAAAGATTGAAAAAAAACTCACCCGATGCTCACTTTTAGCGTAATAATTTAGCATGCTGGGAAATAATGGTAGAATACAAGTGAATGCAAACATATCAATGATTAAAGATGGAATGAGAATCCACATCACATTGCGGCTAGCTACAGATGGCTCAGCTACACTCATCTGGATCTGAAAATCACTCGCACAACTTTTAAAGCACAGAATTGAATCATAGCATTCGGAGCGAATAAAACACAAATAAATCAAGTAAGTATTTATCAATCGATTATTCACTAAATACAA